ACCGTTTCATCGTGAAATGTGCTTTCGCTTAGTTAATATAAAATTGCACTGATAGTTTATAATACCATGTAAATGGTCATTTCGATCTTTTGTTCTTATCCACTTATAAATCAACATTCAGGAGTACAAAACGTAACAAGTACGCTAATTGCTTGCAGCTGACAAATTTCACAAAAGCAATATTGTCCAAGCGTGCACTTTGAAGGTCGTGCTTGTGCATGTATTAGAATGTTTGGCAGATCTCAGCTATAAATACAATTCCGATCGTATTTTGTGTAAAAAATACGCGAATCGAGACTCGTGCGACGGGTAGCGTGAGTCATGTGACACTACGGTCGCGTGGCGATGTCTCGCTTCAGAATGGGCGGATTTTGGATCCAGAAACACCATTCGACTCAGCCCGGGGCGGAACATCTGCTGATATATGGAAGTGGGGATACGGTAGGTATACGGTAAAAGGTCAACCTACACGGATGCGCCTGAAGCTCTGCACAGAGGGCTTACTCGATCTGCTCAACACAGCGATAATATTTTTTGCTGTAGGTTGGATACTGCAGAGTTGCGGTAATTCTACGGTGAGAGCCAAATTGCACATATATATGTTCGAAAATTTGTTCTGAAAGGTTGTCAAATGCGCTGATTTGATAAACAGACTCATTCTGTGATGGAGACGAGGCCGTGGGTATAGGGTAGTCTGTCAGTTTCAACGAATCTTATCAAGTTTCTGCTTATATGGGTTACTCAGTGCGCTAATCAGACAATCTAAAATGATATTATTTATAATAGTCAGCTCTTGGTAGCCCCACTAAGCAAATTTTCGTGCATACATGCGCAAATTAATCACCATATGCTTACCGTAGCTCTACAGTATCTCACCACTGCAACAGATGATATTGTATTTGTAATGAGCACATTGAATAAGCCTTCTTTGCAGAATCTCAGGTGTATCCGCGTAAATTGATTTTCTATCGTATACTGCAATACCCCCACCTTCCAGTACATCAGAAGATGCGCAGCGAAGAGCTGAGTCGAATTGATTCTTGATGCAAATTCGCTCATTCTGAATTGAGATATCGCCACGCGACGGTGATGTCACATGAATCAAGCAACCGTCATCTACTCGCGTAAGTTTACTTCAATTCGCGTCTCTTTTTTTTTCATAAAATACGAGCTGTATTGTACATCCAATTACATGGAGTGTCAGGCTGTTCAGCCAATGTAGTGGCAGTTGTATCACCATTTTTTCAACGCTGACAAGTACTAAGTAACAAACAGCCTCGTTCACTGCGCAGGCAATACATAACGTAAAATCAAATTTGTTGTTTGTATATTATTTAGTGCATATAAAGAGAGGCATTTCATATTGGTACCCTCTTAGTGTTC